ATCTTCTGTCTCTTTTTGAATCCTGTTCTTTTTATTGTCCTTTCTCCTCAGTAATGTTTTCTTGGTTTCCTTCACTCTAAGGAAACCATTGCATCTTTGTGGCTTTATCATCTTGTTTCAAAAAAGAAAAAAAAAGAGAGGGAAGAAACTCAACTCCTTTCTTAAAAAATATATTTTACTTCCATGGTAAACCAAACTACAGTCCTCAATGTAAGAAACCTTTTCTTTTTCTTTTTATTAATTTAAGCTTTTCCACCCAGGAACTGATGACTGACCTGGAAGGCATTCCAAAAATTAAATCAACTCTTTTATATTTTCAAAATCCTATTAAAAAGGTGTAGGTTTTGTGTCACTTTTCTTGTTTGTTTGTTTATATTCTTTTGAAATATGTTTGTGCAAAGTAGTTTTAGTTTATTAAAAAAATTGAACACAAAAGATTTACTGAATGAGTTAAACAGAGGGAAGTGATTCCACAAGTAATTATGTCCTGCTGCATGTGTATGTGTGTGTGTGTACTTATACGTACACACACACACATACACAATTGCAAAGAGAGAGTAAATAGCCGTCAATTAACTATTAACTAATCAGAATTAATAACAAGCCTGATCAAATGTCAATGGCCATCTCGCACAACAAGATAACTGGGCTCCATAGTTGTGTGTGCAGCTAGTGCAGTAATGACACTTCAGTACTCCAGCATGCTCGGCCAGTCAAGAGCCGTCATGAACAGCAAACCAACCAGCTACAGAAAAAGTGCCTCTATCCAAGCCCACTGAAAGCTCGCTGCATTGCTTTAATTGTTCCAGGCCCAACCATCTGACCAACCATTGCCAGTTTGAATGACCGGGGCAGCGCCAAAAGCCCAACATCCAATGTTAAAGGTGCCAGAAGGAGAGCTACGTCACGTTGAAATGGCCGAAAAACAGAGCAAGGGTGAGAAAACATGGATGGTGACCTGGAAGTGGTCGGGTGAGCTGTCACCATATCAGTTGATCAATCTGACGCCTGAATACACCATGCCAAAACACATCTGGAAGGAATATAATTGCAAGTTGCAGACTTGGATTCATAACAGATGGCTGATACCATACCTGGAGAAGGAGCTCGGTCCCCTTAGAGGCTTGATCCCACTAATGGCAATTGTTCAGCTTAACAAAGGAAAAGTGCAACCTGTTATGGATTACCACGAACTAAACGACCATGTGGAAGTGTACACAACATGCACCGATGTGTGCTCTCAAAAACTGAGAGGCTGGCATAGGAAGGGGTCTGACATGTCGGTATTGGACTTAAGAAAAGCCTACCTTCAGGTGCATGTGCACCGTTCTCTATGGCCATTCCAAACTGTGATGGTTAAGGGGCAAAGATACTGCCTAACTTGGATGGGATTTGGATTGAATGTAGCCCATTATGCAGTTGATCGTGAAGGCTGTTCTATCCAGAGATGTGGCTGTTCAACAGGTAACGTCGGCATACATAAACGATGTGTACATCAACAACAGCATGGCACCCGCAGAGCAAGTAAGACAGCATTTTTCTCAGTTTGGGCTAGAAAGCAAGGATCTGGAACAACTTGAAGACAGTGCTCGGATGCTTGGTTTGGAAGTCTGGGGGGAGCGTGGCACTTTTCGGTAGAAGCGTCGGAGTGCAATTCCGGATATCCCAGAAGTTTTGACTTTCGCACAAATTGACAAGAACCCTTTACCCTCGCAAACTCTCAGCTTTTATGCCGGCAAGGCATACACTTATGCAAATGAATACGGGCCTCGCTCCCAGTCCAGTCGCGCACGTGCACTGCCATTTTTGTGTGTGCCGCCATGACGTTTGCCTCGTCAAACGTTCACTCATTCATTTGTTACAGCTTCTTAAGCTGAAGTCAATGCCCAGGGCAGAGGGCCCTCTTGATGGAATCAATAGCCACATGTCCATGACCAAGGCAAGCCTTCATTGGCTGTGGTTTTACCTGGAGAGAGATGGACCCCGCGAGGTCTACTTTCTAAAGATATGCTATGCATGAATTAATACTTATCCAGTTTCCAACCCATACATGTGGAAGAAAATGATAGTGCAGTGACCCTAAGACCACATCTAGTCATGATACTGGTGATGATGATGATTTTTGGAAAGGCATGAATTTAACTCTCCCTATACTCTGATAGAGAGAAATCAATATGGAGCAGAGAAGGAAGCAAGATATAAATGAGAAGCAACAAGAAACAATAACAGATGGAGTAAAAGGTTGCTTGATTGATGCCCAATGGACTGCAAATGCATTAAAATCAAAACAGAAAATGGAAAGATAAAGGAGGTTTGCTGGTAAGAAACGGTAGTGAGAGAGGCCTTTGTCCAGTAGGGCAGTCATAATGGCTGTTTATATATATATATATATATATATATATATATATATATATATATCTGAGATGAGGTATTGTAATTATTTACACTATCCACATTGTTTGAACTGTTATCCTCATCTTTATTGCCATATTCACAGTTTTAGATGTTGTACACTTCAGCCTTCTTCAAGTGATTGGAATTTCAAATTCAGATAACAGTCCTGAATAATCTAAATAGTGTATATATATATATATATATATATATATATATATATATATATATATATATATTTTACACTATTTTTAAATATTTATGACAGTTAGATTTAAGTTAGGAATATCCTAACAGTGACGTTCCATATCACGTGACGTCCGCAAGGTCTCAAGGACGCTACTTGCTAACAAACAGTAATTTTAATTTATTTGTAACAAACAGTTATTTCTGATGAAAAATTGAGGACAATTTGAAATATCAAATATATATATAAATAAATAAATACTTTCATAAAATAAAACATTTTAATTTGAAACTTTTTCTATATATACATATTAAGAAAGTATACGTGGCTTCTCATTATGCTATATATATATATATATATATATATATATATATATATATATATACTAGCAGTAGAGCCCGGGGATGTAACAGTAAGAGATAGATCAAATATCGACCATCATAAAGACTGAAAAATAAAATTGACAAAGATTATTGTTTAAGGTTGACAGATACACTTGTCTTAATTATTTTTTTTTTTTTTTATGAATTGGTCAAACCCAAACAAAAACATTGTTTTCAATCATTATGCATCTACCGATTGAATAGAATTTTATTATAAACAATTGTCTTGTAAATGGAATTTTTAAAGCATTCTGAATGTAAAAATAAAGAAAAAAAGTGTACAAGACAATAAGAAACACTACCTGCCAAAAAAAAGTGAAGTTTTGTTGAAATCGTTTGAAAAATGTAGGAAATCTAATCCCATATATAAACGAACACACAGCCTGGGTTTTATAATAAGTATAACTCAATATGAGTTGTCCCCCTTTCATTCTGGTGACAGTGATGCCTCTTAATTGTGTTTTCAAATTGATTTCATGCAAAAACAATTGTGTTTTTCCAATTTTTGGCGCTGTCAGAACCACCGCAAGGTAATTTTATGTAGTCCTGTGAAGTTTTGTTGAAATCGGTTGAAAAATGTAGGAAATCCGATCCAATATATAAACGAACAGACACACACAACCTGGGTTTTATAATAAGTATGATACACACACACACACACACACTATAGTTCAAAAGTTTGAGGCCACCCCCTGGTAATTTTTAAAAATTAAGTTGGTGAATGCTGTCATAATCCTTGCTTTCAGTTCATCCTTGGTGTTACAAGGAATTTTGTTGGTCTCTCGCTCAACTGCACCCAACACACAATAATCAAAGGGGTTGCAGTCTTAGGTGGCCAGATTTAAGGAGTGATGTGGTCACAAAAATTGTCTGACAGCCATGACTGGGTTCTCCTGCTTGTGTGGCATGGTGCCAGGCATAGGCTCTTCCAGAAGCCACTCTCTTGACCCAGAGCAGCATTACCTCCCCAAGTTACTTGATATCGGTCTGTGTTGAGTCTGTAGTCCACACCAACAAATCCTTATCATTATGATCAGAGTTAGTTTTCCAAGCTGCCATATCATCATAATCAGACTCATCCAACTCTTTCCAAATCCTCTGCACTGCCCTCATATTGACACCCAAACACTGTATAATGTTCGTTGGAGCCTCCAGTGAAAATGCCAAGCAGTACAGCAAGCTGTTTCCAAATTTCTGGCAAAGTGAATTGTGTCATAACTGCTCTTTTTCTTAGAGATGATGCATACCTATGCACACACACTATGAAAGAAAAAAAAATCCACCTTGCACCAATGAAAAGTGCATATATACAAGAAAAACGAGAAATATAAACAGTCAATTCCTGATAAAGACGAGTGGACAGAGTGATTGCTGGTGGGTCCATCTACAAGACACTAGAGTTGGATGATAAAGGTAACACCAATCAGTTAAGTGGCAAACTTTATATTTGTATTAATTCTATATATATATATATTATCAAGTCATCTCCTTAACAAATCAAAAATCTTGAGATTCAAATCTGGGTCTGTATGTAAGGTACCTGCAATACAGTAATTGCTAAATTAATCTCAAACTATTTACTAGTGTTAGGAGTTTAATGCTCATTGGGAAACCAATTATTTAAAAGAACATCTATTAGAAAGGAGAATAACTTATTACTGTGGCCTTGTGTCAGTTGGATTAAGTTAAACTGAATAAATTTATATATATATATATAGAAATTTGTATACTGTGTTAGGCAGACAGTGGAATTATATGATTGGCAGCTAGCCAATATTATGTGACTGTTTTTTTTTTCTAACAAACTGTAAAGGATTCTTTCAGATTAATCTGGACTGATGATTATTAAGGTCATTCTATCCAGAACATCACCAATTCATCTTCGAAAACAAAATATAGTGGAATGAGAAATGAATTCTTGTTTTTATGTGACATATATATATATGTAACCTATCATTTCTTCAGGGATGATTGGTTATTCCATCTAAAAATCAACAAAAAGAGAAATCGAGAACGAAAGAAAGAGAAGAGAAGAGAAATCAAGAACGAAAGAAAGAGAAATAAAGAACAAAAGAAATAACAAAAAGATAAAGAGAGAAAGAAATAACAAAAAGAGAGAGAGAGAGAGAAAGAAATGACAAAAAGAGAGAGAGAGAAAAAAAGAAAGAACAAAAAAGAGAGAGAGAAAGAAAGAACAAAAAAGAGAGAGAGAAAGAAAGAACCAAAAAGAGAGAGAGAGAAAGAAAAAAACAAAAAAAAGAAAGAAAGAAAGAAAAGAACAAAAAAGAGAGAGAGAAAAAAGAAAGAAAAAAAGAGAGAGAGAAAGAAAGAACAAAAAAGAGAGAAGAAAGAAAACAAAAAAGAGAGAGAAAGAAAGAACAAAAAAGAGAGAGAGAAAGAAAGAACAAAAAAGAGAGAGAGAAAAAGAAAGAACAAAAAAGAGAGAGAGAAAGAAAGAACAAAAAAGAGAGAGAAAGAAGGAACAAAAAGAGAAAAAAGAAAGAAAAAAAAGAGAGAAAGAAGGAACAAAAAAGAGAGAAGAAGAAAAAAAAGAAAAAGAAAAAGAGAGAAAGAAAAACAAAAAGAGAGAAAGAAAGAAAAAAAGAAGAAAAAGAAAGAAAGAAAAAAAAGAGAGAAGAAAGAAAGAAAAAAAAAGAGAGAGAAAGAAAGAAAGAAAGAAAAAAGAGAGAGAGAGAGAAAAGAAAGAACAAAAAAGAGAGAGAGAAAGAAAGAACAAAAAAGAGAGAGAGAAAGAAAGAACAAAAAAGAGAGAGAGAAAGAAAGAACAAAAAAGAGAGAGAGAAAGAAAGAACAAAAAAGAGAGAGAGAAAGAAAGAACAAAAAAGAGAGAGAGAAAGAAAGAAAAAAAAGAGAGAGAGAAAGAAAGAACAAAAAAGAGAGAGAGAAAGAAAGAACAAAAAGAGAGAGAGAAAGAAAGAACAAAAAAGAGAGAGAGAAAGAAAGAACAAAAAAGAGAGAGAGAAAGAAAGAACAAAAAAGAGAGAGAGAAAGAAAGAACAAAAAGAGAGAGAGAGAGAAAGAAAAAACAAACAGAGAGAGAGAGAAAGAAAGACAAAACAAATAGTGAGAGAGAAAGAAAGACAAAACAAATAGTGAGAGAGAAAGAAAGACAAAACAAACAGAGAGAGAGAGAAAGAAAGACAAAACAAATAGTGAGAGAGAAAGAAAGACAAAACAAATAGTGAGAGAGAAAGAAAGACAAAACAAATAGTGAGAGAGAAAGAAAGACAAAACAAATAGTGAGAGAGAAAGAAAGACAAAACAAATAGTAAGAGTGAAAAAAGACAAAACAAAAAGAGAGAGTGAAAGAAAGAAAAAACAAAATGAGAGAAAAAGAAAAAACAAAAAGAGAGAGAAAGAAATAACAAAAAGAGAGAGAAAGAAAGAAATAACAAAAAGAGAGAGAAAGAAACAAATAACAAAAAGAGAGAGAAAGAAACAAATAACAAAAAGAGAGAGAAAGAAACAAATAACAAAAAGAGAGAGAAAGAAAGAAATAACAAAAAGAGAGAGAGAGAGAAAGAAATAACAAAAAGAGAGAGAGAGAAAGAAAGAAATAACAAAAAGAGAGAGAGAGAGAAAAAATAACAAAAAGAGAGAGAGAGAGAAAAAATAACAAAAAGAGAGAGAGAGAGAAAAAAATAACAAAAAGAGAGAGAGAGAGAGAAATAACAAAAAGAGTGAGAGAGAAAGAAATAACAAAAAGAAAGAGAGAAAGAAATAACAAAAAGAGAAAGAATGACACTAAAGAAAAGTGATTCTTTTTTAGCCTTTCTTCATTTTTCTAATCGTGATTGTCTGCTAAAAGCTGCTAACAGGTGTCGTCACTTTACAAAAACACAGCCGAGATCAATACGTCTGCGTGTCAGAGGTCATCTGCACAAAACCCAGACGGTTGGTTCTCTGAAGAGTTTCTACCCAAGTCTCAGTGGAATCACTTTCGGTTATTTATTACTTCCTCTTGAAATTCAATAACATCGACAGAGCAGACATAATCAACCCAAACATCTTCATTCCTCTGTCTTATTTCACTTGCCAACACCCACTACCACTGCCAGCTACCAATTCCGTGTTTCTACCATTTCCAAAGTAACCAGGACGATTTTATTTTTCCTTTCCTTCTTTTCTTCCATTTTGTTTTGTTCTGTCAAGTTCTTCACACAAAATAAAAACAAAAAAAAAAACAGATAGCCAGTAAGATCTTATTAAAAGATAACAATAACTGATTAAGAGTGTATGACATATCCAACCAAGATACAATTACCTTCAGAAAAACGTGTTGTCTTTCTCTTTATGACCTGTCTCTCTACCTTGTCTATCTTCCAACCAAACTCTCTCTCAAGGTGAATAGGGGTTTGTAATTAAATAAAACTGGCGACAAGGTTGTGTTTGTGTTTGGAATTGAAATAACAAAATAAAATATATAACAAGGTAGGAATAATTTAGAGGCTGGTGATAAAATCTTTAATGCCAAAATGTTAGATAAGGACAAAAAGGTGGCAAATGAAATTTGGTGCAAGCTCCAAAATTAAATTGCTGTTTCAATTTAATAATAATAATAATAATGATGATTAATTTCTCTTTATAATGATTCTTGTAGAAAACTAAAGGCCATGAAATCATTGGTTTTATTCCAAATGTCACTTTGATGTGACTCATTACAATGCAATTAAAAAAAATAATGTACTCCTGAATCATCATCATCAGTCCCATAAATATGGATGGTTGCAGGATCACTCCACAGATGACCACTTGACCAGTTCTTGCCATATAACTGGGGTGAAAACCAGAAAGGTATTCATTCATGCAAGTCCACCTCTCCAGCTGAAACCTCAACAAATGTCCTCCAACTTGAAGGATTGTCTTGATCAGGGGTCACCAAACTATGGCCCCTGGGCCGGATCCAGACCCCAATGTCAGTTCATCCGTTTCACTTTGCCACAAATGAGTTAAAATATAATTATTTATATGGAATTCTCAATAGATTGCAGTTAAACTTACTATATAGAAAAAATTAAAATAAATGTAAGTAAAATGCTAAAATTTGGCCAATCTGATTTTTGCATCTGATAGTAATATAAGTTTTAGGAAAATCAGTGAAATAAAAAATTCAGCAACTTTTTTGAAACTTTTGATATCCAAGCGTTTTTGTGTAAGTACCTGCAATGAAGTTTCTAAGAAAAGCAATTACGACCCTGCTGCAGCAGTTATGTTTTAAATTGCATTGCCGTGTTTAAACAGGTTTGAAGAGTGTCATATATAAAAAGGACTGACTTAAGCGAATTATGTCATGTATTTTGCCTAAACTTATTATAAAATCTAAAGTATGTAAAGTCAGCACATGAAATGAGTTTGACTGATAAACATTTGAAAGCATTTCTCTTGGTTGGATGCAGCAATACCAAAACAAATATTAATTATATCTTCAAAGGTAAACACCAGTTTTACAAATCTCAATAATCTTTTATACTGCTTAGTTCATGAGATTCGGATATGTGTGCACTTGGTATGTGGACCATTGACTGCAGTGCAGGAAGCTCACCAGCCAGTGATGCCATGTTATAGGCTGTATACATGGCTATAGAGTCCAATCTATCCGGTTATGCTATATGGCCATTCAACATTTGTTTTAATGATGTTTACCCTGTACAAAGCTCAAGAGTAACTCAAGGTAGAAGGTTAGAAAGTAAGAGACATCACCCCCAAGCAAGGTAATAATGCTATCAAGAGGCAAGGGTCTACTGAAAGTGAAAGGGAAGGAAAAGACTTTAGAGGGAACTAGAAACCCAATGCTAAACAGGAAAAAAAAGGACAAACCTCTACTCCTGTTCAAAAGACCGAGGAGGTGTATGAACTGGACAACACACAATATAAGAATGTTCATCTGCACTTTGACAGATTTAGTTTTTAATCCTGCTAGGTATCTAGCCACTCATCACCAGACCATCTGAAAAGAACAAGGGTAGAACCAGTTTCATTGCTGTTGACCCAACCTTACAGCAGATAGTACTGAGTTACATGGTACCTGACAGTGACCTGGAGAAAGATAGCTATACTCACAGATGATTGTGACTATAAGGTGCCCCAGAGTGACAGTGTCAGACTAAGCTAAATTTATGCAGCTATCAATATTTCTTGAAATGTACAGTAAAACAGAATATAGCACAAGGCCTGTCACATTGCTGATTGAAAGATGATCAAATTTCAAATTTAAATTGTTTGTCCATTTAAAAGAAATACATATTCAGTTTAAATACAGAAGGAGTCATAAAAATGAATTCAAATGGTTAAACAGTTCAGCTAATATTCTCTTCCTGTTACCCAGGGTTATTGTAAGATGGAAAGGGAAATTAGCCCTCACAGATGTCCATTTCAGTTTAATTCAATTACATGCACACGTCTATTTGCATATGTATATTTTAATTCAATTACAGTCCTGAAACTGTTTCTGAAAGAAAAAAAAGAAAGAGAAAAAGAAAAAGAAAAAAGAAAAGGGGGGAAAGAAAACAAAAAGAAAAAGAAAAATAGGAATAAAAAATAATAAAAATAAAAAATATATTAATAAAAATAAAAATAACTTTTAAAACAATTATTTCATACTAAATAATTTTAAAAATATCAATAAAATCTTATAATTGTTTGATTTTTTTTTTTAATGTTTAAAAAGTTTTTTTTTTAATTGTCCCAACTTATGATTTTATTGTTCAGCCCAGGGTAGGGTTTGTACAAGCTAAGTGGGAGGGAATATAATTCAATTATATCAAGTTGTGAGTGCATGTGTGGGTGTGCACATTTGCTTATATATACATTAATTGGCACATGCACATGTAAATCATTCACACGCATACATAACATATGCACAAGGTATATCATACACACACAATGTGTAACAGACAGGGAATCAGCTCTTATTATATATATATATAACAATAAAAATATATTCCTATCAAAGTAACAGCTTGACAATCTGAGGTCTCATTCTATGTGCAAGGTCAGTGGAGCTCCTTTTTACATAAGAAAATGCATGTAAAGAAAAAAAATATTTATGAGAAAAGCTCACTTAACAAAACGGCCATATTGACACTGTAACAGCAGCAAGAAAACTTGTGTGATCAAGCTCAAACTTGGATCACATGACCACAATACTACCAACTATAAGCATGCACAAGCAAAAGGCAACGTGATAAACGTAAAGATATGTTTTGACTTAGCCTTGTAATTATTAGGTTTTTTAATAAGTGCAGCATAAATATAATTCTTCATTTATTATTATTTCCTTTGATTTCAGTTGTATACACATTTCCTTCCAGGGCCTACTCACTCCTGTTGGAGGAATCCCTCCCTGACTAACCATGTCTTCAGAGGTGGAGCCATACTCACCATGCTTGGCTAACTGTGGGTTGGTAAGGTTTTGAATTCAGAGTTGTCCTTCGCCTAGACCAGTTTGTCCTGCTATTTAACTCATAGCTGGAGGGAGAAAAGATGGATGTATATTTTTCACAAGGGTATTTGCATATAACTGAGCGTAATGAACTTGACTGGAATCTGAACCCTGTTTCCTCAAATCGAACCGCTATCCATTACACCACCATTCCACCATTCACTATTGGACAACCTTGGAAAAAGTATGAATCCATCTCTTTCTTTCTCTCTCCCCAGCTATGAGGAAAATAGCAGAGTAGACTAGGCACAACAGCCTTGTTTGGCAACCAGTCTAGGAGGACAATTCTGAATTCAAAAACTGTACAAAGCAAAATACTATCTGCAGCAAATGAAAGGACTGATAAATTCACAATAACTAGTGTCCCAATTGTGGTTAACTTTGGTTGGTTGGTTGGTTTAAATGTTTTGGGTTTTTTGTTTCCATGAAAATACCCTATAATCACTTGAACACTGATGAATATATTTTTCTTCAAATTCTTGATGAAATTACGAATAACAAAACCCCAAACAAACTCAGTACAGAAGATGATCCCAAAATGCATACTGGTGAATGTTGGGCAAGACAGTCACCAGCAGATTTCTTTGAAGATGAAGATAATATGATTATGTAGAATATCAAACAACAGATTGTGACAAATGTAGAAGAGTGTTTCACATTTACAAGAAAACAAAGTATTATGTGCCTAATCTTATTTTCAAGTTGAGAATAAAACATTTGTAAATATAGTTTATGTAACAGCCAGGATTTATTATAGTGATACTGCAAACTTTGGTAGCAGGAGGAGGTGTGGAATGAAACCAATCAGAGCAATATTATAACCCTGATGACATTCAGTCTTTCTTATACCAACAAACTGACTTTAACACTACTCCACAACTATCTTGAATAGCTTTAGTCATTTTATGTATCGACAAACCAAATATTTATGGCAGCAGAAATAAAAAAAAAACTTGTCAAGCAGCAAATTTTATGTTATACACTGCAAATCAGATAAAGAGGAATAGCAAGTGGCCGAATAAAAATTCAGCCTTAGAGAGAAATAGTGCTCCTTCTCTCTCTCTCATATATATATATATATATATATATATATATATATAGAGAGAGAGAGAGAGAGAGAGAGAGAGAGAGAGAGAGAGAGATAAAAATGTAAATGCATTGCTAATGATCTTACAACAGGAATGCAATGAAAATCAGAAATAAAGTTTTTCATTGGTCAGAAATGAAAGCAAGCATCACTGATGGAATTGAGCTTATATATAAAATGTAATTGCATTTCTAATGATTTTATTAAAGGAATGAATTGAACTCAGAAAGAAAGGGATTGCAAGGATCAGGAATGAATGCAAGAATTACTGATGGAATATATAAAGATATATAAAAAATGTTAATGCATTATTAACTGCATTTAAAAACACGAGAAAAGGAATTGTCA